CAGGTAAGTGAATCCAGCAGCTGTCGGCTGCTGCTGCTACCCAAAGGTCAGAGAAACGAGTGCAGAGGTGGGATGCTGCTGCCCAAAGCACAGGGAAGTGAATCTAGCTGCTGACTGCTGCTTCTGCTTCCCAAAGGTCGGGGAAGGCAGACCTGCGGTGTGCTGCTGCTGCTGCTCCTGCCCACGGAGCCTGCCACCAGGCGCCCCAGGTACACGCCGCGAACCGGTGTGGCGTCCCACTGCAGTTGGTGTCGGAAAGGAAGGGTTGCTTGATGACGCTGTGTGATTTGGCGCTCCCTGTCAAACTATACTTGTTATAGGTTGTTAGTCTAGTCTAGGTATTACAGTGAGTTATGCAGTAGAGGGTACAACCCCCTTTAGGGTTAGCTATATGTTTCCTTGTACTGCTTCGTTCTAGTCATTCATTCTTGCGGTTCTCTCTTTGACATGGTATCAGAGCTTAGTTCGTTCCCATGGGCCCACCTCCGCATGCCCCATTCGTTGCTCGCTCTTTTTATGGTTATGTCAGATCATCGCTCGATAGCCGCCCGTAGCGTGCTCGCCGCCCGTTGTGAGGGCACGGCAACAGCAGCAGCAGCAGCAGCAACAGCAGCAGCAGCAGCAGCAGCAGGAGCAGTCTCAGTCGGAGCGTCAGGAGAGAGTAGAGGAGGAGTCACAGCCGCACCAGGAGAGAGTAGAGGAGGAGTCATGACCGCAGCAGCAGGTGGAGTTGCAGGCACCAGGAGAGAGTAGAGGAGGAGTCCCGGCCGCCGCAGCAGGTGCAGTCGCGGCCGCAGCAGGAGATGGTAGAGGAGGAGTCACGCCGCAGCAGCAGGTGCAGTTGCAGCCGCGACAGGAGAGTGTAGAGGAGGAGTCACGGCCGCCAGACCTCCCACTCCCACTCAAACTCCTCCTGTCTGTCCTCAAGGACGTCCGTGCCAAGAGCACACTCACCCCCGATGGACGGAGGACAGACAGACTCAGACTCAGCAACAAGGCTAGCGGCGTAGTCTAGACGACAGGCAGCAGCAAAGTCAACAAGCTCAGCAACTAGAGCAGACGCAGCAGTGGACTCAAAGGAAGGGTCAGTGACAACAGTGGCGAGGAAACGCGTGACAGTAGGACTGGCAGCACGAAGGGAGTCAGACTCCGGGTCCGGACCGTCAGGAAGAGAGGACGCAGGAGGAGACGGCAGAGGGACACGCTGTGGAGCAGTGGAAGGACGCAGAGTCATATAGTGAGTGCCAGGGACAGGAGGAGGACGCTCACGCGGAACACGACGACCAGTGCGGACAGCGCGGACAGCGCGGACAGGCGACTCTGGACGAGACTCAGGCGACGCAGGACGAGACTCAGGCTCACGACGCTCCGTAAGACCTCTAGTCGGCCCAGCGTAAGGAGAAGGACCAGGCAGTGGGGAGGCTGGCTGTAACTGTGACTGCGACTGGACAGGTGGTGGACTCAGTCGGGGAGGAGTAGGACCAGTAGAGGGCGGGAGGCCAAGAACTTGCTGAAGGAGTGGAACGTAGTACGGCCGGGCCGCGCAGAACCGCCCAGAACCGCCCAGAACCGCCCAGAACCGCCCAGAACCGTTCCCCACCGCCAGAACCAGCAGCAGCTTAGGCTGCCGCCAGAACCAGCAGCAGCATAGGCTGCCCCCAGCAGAACCAGCAGCAGCATAGGCTGCCCCGAGCAGAACCAGCAGCAGCATAGGCTGCCCCCAGCAAAACCAGCAACAGCATAGGTTGCCCCACCAGCAGATCCAGCAGCAGCACAGGCTGCCCCCCAGCAGAACCAGCTGCAGCATTAGCTGTAGCAAGCAACCGCTCCTAGCCGCTCCCCACCGCGCTCGGCCGTCTCTAGCGCCTACCATGGCGTGTGCTAGAGTTCTGCAGCAGCAGCAGGGTCAGCCGCAGCCACAGCAGCTACAGCACTCCCGGCAGTGGGGACCTGAGGGTCCTAGGAGTACCGGCCGCAGCAGCGGCTCAGCCGGTAGTGGGCGCGACGTCGGTCCCTGCGGGTACCGGATCCTGACTGGCCCGGGTGCTGGCACCACCTGCTGGAGTCCTTACCACTCTGCGTCCCGCTGCTACCGTCGCCTCGTTGACCTCCACCGTGAGCGTTTTGGTCCCCACGCTATTACACCGCACTGGCCCTCACGTCTTCGCGAGCGCACTGCTGCACCAGTTGAGTTTCACCTACCTGGTCTAGGACCTCTCCCGGCTGCACGAGTAGAGACATGTGTTTCGAGTCTTGGTGCATGTGTTATTTCCAGCCCAGCCGCCTCTGAGCGTCTTTGTGTAGGAGCTGTTGCTACCACTAGTGTAACACCAGCCTTTGTCGCTGATTGTGGTGGACGACTACTCCCGCTACACCATGGTTTTCCCCTTGCGACGGAAGGCCGACGTGCCTACCGTCCTCGTTTGACGAGTCTGTCTGTTACTACAGGAGTCGCCCCCACCGAGGTACTGAGGTCTTTTCCCCCCCGCTGTTCCTCACTCTTGAGCCCCCCCCAGGCGCCCGGGTAGCCCCCCCCCCCCCTTCGCATCCTGCCCCGTCAGGTGTGTCGCACGTCACTCCGCCGTCGTCCCCCCCGCAGCGTACAGTCCATGTCGTGTCTGGGGTTGCGGGAGGTGCAGTTGCGGAGGGTGAGGATGCTGGGGCTGCTGGAGCTGGTGGTGTCGAATCTGGGGGTGCAGGGGGTGTGGGCGTGGAGGTCACTCCCGTGGAGGAAACGGTAGCCTCGACTCGGAGGCCTCGCCCCGCGTCACCCCCTGGCTTCCCGTCCGTCCCGCAGTTCCCTCCTCGTTCTTCTCTGCGGCCGGTTGCTGCGGAGCCTGGGGGTGTTCCTGCGGGAGGTACTGGAGGCCCCGGGGGTGTCGGTGGTGGAGGTGCTGGTTGTGGGGGTGCTGGAGCTGGAGGCACTGGCACTGTGGCGCCTACACCGCGCACTGTACGTTTCCTGACCCGTGAGCAGCGTCTCCTCCGGTTGGAGAGGGAGGAGCGTGAGCGGTTTGAGTGTGCACAGCAGCAGCAGTAGCAGCAGCAGCAGCAGGAGCAGGAGCAGGAGCAGTCTCAGTCGTAGCGGCAGGAGAGAGTAGAGGAGGAGCCACAGCAGCAGCAGGAGAGAGCAGAGGAGGGGTCACGACTGCAGCAGCAGGTGCAGTTGCAGCCGCAGCAGGAGAGAGAGTAGAGGAGGAGTCACGAGTGCAGCAGCAGGTGCAGTTGTAGTCGCGGCAGGAGAGAGTAGAGGAGTCATGGCCACACCAGGAGAGGGTAGAGCAGGAGTCCCGCCCGCAGCAGCAGGTGCAGTTACAGACACAGCAGGAGAGAGTAGAGGAGGAGTCACGGCCGCAGCAGGAGAGGGTAGCGCAGGAGTCCCGGTCGCAGCAACGGGTGCAGCTGCAGCCGCAGCAGGAGAGGGCAGAGGAGGAGCCACAGGAGCAGCAGCAGGGGCAGGTACCGTTATAGCAGACTCCAGATGAGGCGGAGCAGCAGCGACAGCGACTGCGCGACCTGCCCGACCCAGCACCTGCACGCTTTGTTCGTGGTCCCCTACCGTCCCCTCCTGTCCAGTCCCTTTCCTCGTCTCAGTGGACTCGTCGTTCTCCCCTCAGTCGTGCTGTGTCTCCAGAGACCCGTCGGTCTCGTTACTGTGCAGACGGCCCGTTTCACCTTGTTCTCCCCTCTCGTGTTCCACCTCCTTCAGTCCTTCCACAGCCTCCTGAGTCGTCCCTCACTGTGCTTCACGACCCGTTGTCCGACTACCTCCGTGCCTCCCGTCCTGTCGTCTCCCGTGTTTTGTCCGCGTTGGTCACTCACCTGACTGCACCCCTGTCGTCTGTCTCAGCACTTGTTACCACTGTCGCTAGCTTTGCCTCTTCCCACCGCCTTGACTACGCCGCTCACCTGGTGAGTGGCCCTGCTCGTTCTCCGTCCTCTGGGGGTGCTCCTGTCTTTCCCCTGGAGGTCCTAGAGGACAGGCAGTTCGAGCTTGGTTTCCTTGCGGCCGCTATTCTCATCTCTGCGCCATGCTGCTTGCCCCTGAGGGGGATCCACACGCCCTTGACATCCCGACCCCTCGCACACACGCTGAGGCGGTCTCAAGACCTTGGGCCTCGTACTGGATAGCAGCTGAGGAGGCAGAGATGGCATCTTATAGGTCCACATGCACCTACGTCGACGCCGTTCCGCCACCTGGGGCGAACGTTGTCAGTGGCATGTGGCTCTACAAGGTGAAGCGGCCGCCTGGATCACCACCAGTGTTCAAGGCACGTTACGTGGCGAGAGGCTTCAGTCAGCGAGAGGGGGTAGACTTCTTCCAGACCTTCGCTCCCACCCCAAAGATGACCACTCTTCGGGTGTTGCTGCATATTGCCGCACAGCGCGACTACGAGTTGCACTCCTTGGACTTCTCCACCGCGTTCCTTCAGGGACGAGTAGATCTGGCTGCGTCGTCGCCTGGCTTCACTGGCACTTTCCTTCCTGGGACCCAGTGGCAGCTGCGTCGACCGGTCTACGGCCTGCGCCAGGCTCCCCGCGAGTGGCACGACACGCTACGCACGACTCTTGCAGCGCTTGACTTCTTTCCGTCTTCTACCGGCCCGTCGCTGTTCGTCCGCCGTGGCTCGACCCCGTTCTTTGTTCTGGTCTACGTTGACGACCTGGTCTTTGCCACTTGTTATAGTCACAATAGGCTTGAATGTGCCTAAAACGAAAGATAGAGAGCACAGACGGATTTCTGCACAGCGGCTTCAAACGTTGATAGCGTTCTGCTCACAGCTGCAAATGACTTCATTCAAATTGGATCTGGAGCGTCTTCACGTCGTCTACAATTAGCAATTTAGATTGCACGATTTAATAAAGAATTGACGACACAGCGTTGGTTTGAATGAACGGTACTATGGCAGCCACTATAGTCTTAGAACACAAGATAGGAAGAGTTACGAGTTGGCGACAGTGGCGGCGAGGCAAGCAGTGGAGAGATTGAGTCCGTTGCTATGGGTGATAAGGGTGTCGCAGCTGCGTGCGATGGTGTGGTTCCTGCGACAGTATCCCAAGTCAAGGGTCTTCAACAGGCGCCGACGGCTGCTTACACGGTGTCTCGGGCTGATACACTTTCTAAGACTGCTGCTGATGCGGCTGCCGCTGCTGCTGCTGCTGCTGACATCGGGGCCATGGCAATCGACAGCATGGGTTCTGGTTCGGTGATAGCAGGGAGCCTTCACAGGCAGTCTGATCCAGGGGTTGATGGAGAAGCAGCGTTTCCCGCAGCACAACGCAAGGAGCCGGCGGGGCCAGAAGCACAAGTGAGCGCAGTTCGATGTGGGAGCGCCCAGCAGGCAGGTGAAGCCCCGGCAGCAGGTGGTGCTGGAGAGCAGCAGCGTACAGCTCGACTTCTTCCCCCTGGCGAGCTCCCTACAGTGACAGCGGCTGTGGCAGTGGGAGAATTGGGGGCAGCGAGGTGCAGGGTACTGGAGCGTGGTGATGCTATTGCCACTGATGGCGCTGCTGGCGCTGCTGCTGCTGCTGCTGCTGCTGCTGGCACTGGTGGCACTGATGGTGTTGTCGATATGCAAGGGGGTGAATCCGGCTGTGCTGCGGCTGTGGCGAAGCCATCGCACGAAGGCCTGATGTGTGCTGTGACGCCGCCGGATCTTGATGGCACCATGGCAGTGGCAGGATTGCCGAATCCAGTGGCGCCCACAACATCGCCAGATGCTTCCGCTGCGGATAACACTGCTGCTGCTGTTCCTTCTGCAGCTGCTAATGTTGAAGTTGATGTTGGTGCTGCTATTGGCGAGGCCAGAAGTGCGTCGTTCCCCTGTCCTCCTCCTGCTGTTGCTAACACCTCACCAACAGATCCCGCTGCTGCGATGCCTGTCGTCTCCGGTCCTGCCGCTATCGATTCCACCAAGCCCACTGCCAGTGCGGCCAACACCGTCAAAAACCGCAATCCTAACACCAACAGTGCCGCCGCCAACATCGCCGGTGCTACCAACACCACTGGTACAGCCGGTACTGTCGCCAACACCACCGGCAATCCCACAGCGGGCTCGCAGCTGCTCCCATTCAACACGGAGCGAGTGGAGAGCGTGTACGCGCTGGCGAGCGAGGAGCTAGGCCGGGGCGAGTTCGGCGTGGTGCGCACGTGCATGCACCGCACCACCGGGCAGCTCTTCGCGTGCAAATCCCTGGACAAAGCCCGGCTGCGGGAGAGCTCACGCGTGGAGGACCTAGAGATGGAGCTGTACTGCATGGGCATCATGCCGCGCCATGGGAACGTCGTGCAGCTCGCGAGCGTGCACGAGGACGAGAGGGCCGTGCATCTTGTGATGGAGCTCTGCGATGGGGGGGATCTGTTTGAGCTGATAGCCAAGGCGGGGCGGCTGCCGGAGGTGTTTGCTGCGTGGATGTTCCGCCAGGCTGTTGAGGCCGTAGCGTTTTGTCATGAGTACAACATCGCGCATCTGGATATCAAGCCGGAGAATCTGCTCATTCGGACCAAGAGGAACCTGCCTGGGGGGGGCGTCGGCGGGGGCGTCGGCGGCGGCGTCGGTGGCTCTTGCGGCCATGGGTGTGGCCCAGCAGCAGCAGCTGCAGCAGCAGGAGATACCAATTGTGGCCCCTCACAGCTCCACACAATCACCAGCAGTGGCAGCCGCTGCACCTGCAGCAGCAGCTGCTGCAGTGCCTCCCTCAGTTCCCGTCAACCGTCTCTCCACCCCCTCCACGCCAGCCACTCCCTTGGCGACTGGTATCGCTGCCACCCTCACTGCCACTGCTGCTGTCACACTCCCTGCTGGCACTGACAGCAGGGCTGCAGCCGATGGGGATAGTGCTTCTGCACCTTCTGCTGAAGCTCCTTCCACTGGTCTCGTTCCTCCTCCTCCTCCTCCTCCCCCCTCCTCCTCTTGCTGCTGTTGCTGAAGGCCCTGTTGCTGATGACGGTACGACAAGTTCTCCATCAAGTGACCAAGGCCTGCAAGCCTCTTCTGCTCCCATGCATGCTGCCGCTGCTGCTCCTCCCCCTTCTGCTGCTGATGCTCCTGGCGGTGCTGCTGCCTCTGAGTCTGCAACGCTTGCTGCTGCCGATTACAGCAGCTGCAAGCATGCACCACCGCTCCTCACCCCGGCTTCCACTACTGTGCCTCAATGCACGGGTGCTGCAGGCACAGACTCTGCCACAGCCGCACGCACCACCACTGCTGCTCCCACCACTTCTGGCATGGAGGGCATTCGTGTGAGCAGCACTGCCACCATCGGCACTGGCTTCACTAGTGGCGCTGGTGCTGCTGCTGCTGGTGTATCCATGGGTTTGGGAACCAGCATCGGCAGGGTCGGTAGCGCTGCCGCTGCCGCTGCTGCCGCCGCTGCTGCTGCTGTTCCTGGTAGCAGTGGAGGAGGAGGAGAAGGAGGAGGGTGTGGAAGCGCAGCGCCGGCGTGTCTGGCGGGGATAGAAGTGAAGCTGGCGGATTTCGGGCAGGCGGTGGTGCTGTCGCCTGGGAGCACAGCGCATGGGCTGGCAGGGTCATCGTTCTACATGGCGCCAGAGGTCGTCAAGGGGCGCCAGTACGGGCTCTCTGCTGATGTGTGGAGCCTCGGTGTGCTGCTCTATGTCATGCTTGCAGGTGAGATGGGGCGTGCCTGGTGCTGTTGGTGAGGTAAAGCGTGGTGGTGGTGCTTGTGCTGGTGCAGCTGTTGGGGGATTGGTGGGGTGGGGTCTGGGGTTCGGCGGGCTTGTCGCCAAGCTTCTAAATGTCTGTTTCCAGCATCACAACATGTTAAGGCCGAAGCATTCCTATCCCAGCCCTCAACGTCCTTCACCATCCCTTTCTCCTGTGCCTCCCTTTCCTCCGCATATGCACCCCCCACCCCCCACCCGTCCAACCACACCAGGCTACCTGCCATTCTACGGGGAATCCCTCCGTCACATCTTCCTCACCATCTGCTCGTCCGACCCCGACTTCTCCTCGCCGCCCTGGCCCTCGCTCTCCCTAGCCTGCAAGCACCTGCTGCGCTCCATGCTCCACCGCGACCCCCTCCGCCGCCCCTCCGCCCGCCAGCTCCTCTCTCACCCCTGGTTCTCCTGCGCGCTCCTCCCCCTCTCGCCCCCCTCCGTGCCTCGCTGCCTCTCCCCGTTCTCCTCGCCATCTTCCTATTCCCGCCTCTCCCCTCACTCCTCTCGCCCCTCGCTTGCCCCCCTCTCGCCCCTCTCACCCCTCTCGCGCTATTCAATCTCCACCAATCCGCTGGCTACCAAACCACTCACCAGCAAGCACTTGAATGGACAGCCATCCTCCTCACCGCTGCTCATGTCCCTTTTTCCGGGAGTAACTCCCCCGTCTCCTTCCTCCTGCCTCTCGCCCTTCACCTCCTCGCCCTTCACCTCCTCGCCCTTCTCGACGTCCCCATATTCCTCCTCCCACTTCCCCTCACCACCGTTCTCCTCCTCCTCATCCTCCTCCCATTATTCCTCCCGTCTGTCCTCCTCCTTCCCTCACCTCTTTCCAACTCTCCAATCCTTAGGTCCTACGTCCTCCCCTTCCGCATACCCTTTATCTTCCTCCCCCGCACCTCCATCCATGTCCCACGCTTTCCTCCCCAACCCCAACACCCCTCTCGCGCCCTACCACTCATCTCGCTTCCACCCGAGCTTCCCGCTTTCCACGGGGGCAGCAGCTGCGGCCGCAGCGGCCACTGCTGCTGCTGCTGTGGCGGCGGGGGCGTCACATGTGCCGTTGCGTGGAGTGGATGTGCGCTTGGATGTTGATCCGCTCCTCCCTCGCCTTGCTGCTCACCCATCTCTCTTCCATCCTCCTCCCCCTGCTGCTGCTCCTACTGCTCCTGCTTCTACTGCTCCTGCTCCTCCTGCTCCTGCTCCTCCTGCTCCTGCTCCTCCTGCTGCTGCTCCTCCTGCTGTTGCTGCGGCTGCTGCAGCAGCTGCTGCTACTGCTCCTGCACCTGCGGTGCATGTATCTCCTGCAATTCCGACCACTGCTGGTGTTGCTTCTGCCACAGCAGCAGTCACACCATCAGGACCCTCGGCCACCGCCACAACACCTCATATTGCTGCTGCTATCACTGACCCTGCAACAATCACTGCCACTGAAAATACTCGTGCTATTGCCGCTGCCAGTGCTGCTGGTCAGGCGGCTGTTGCTGGTAAGGCGGCTGTTGCTGGTAAGGCGGATGAGGTCTCCCCTTCCTCTTCTTCTTCTCCTCCTCCTGCTGTTGATGCTCCTGCTGCGCCATCTTCCAGTGATCCTGAGGCACAGCTTTTCTCCTCAGTGCTCCTTGAAACTGCGCAGCAGCTTCCTGCTCTGGTGAACAGGGAGGATGGGACGTGGCAGGCGGGGTTGAAGGAGGGGAAGGAGGCGAATGAGGGGAAGTGGGATTGCGCATACGGTCTGCTCGATACTGCTGGCGTGGGTGATGCGAATGCTTTCGTGGATGAATGCGGGATGAAGTATAGCATAAGTGGGTATCTAGATGCGGTTCTGGATGCAGCAGCTGGTGATGAAGTGGCTGGGGATGGAGAGTCAGATGGAGGGGATGGTGCTGGAGGGAAGATTGATGGGGTGGCGTGCATGGGTGCAGCAGGTGGGGAAGGGTGCTTCGATGCTGTTGCTGCTGCTGCTGCTGCTGGGACTGACTGTGCCAGTGGCCCACCAGCAGCTACAGCAGCTCCAGCTCCAACTCCCGCAGCAGCTCCAGTCCCAGTAGCTCCAGTACCTCCAGTACGAGCACCTCCAGGACCAGCGGCTCCAGCAGCTCCAGCACTAGCAGCACCTCCAGCAGCTCCAGCACCAGCACCAGCAGCACCTCCAGCAGCTCCAGCACCAGCAGCACCTCCAGCAGCTCCAGCACCAGTAGCACCACCAGCAGCACCAGCAGCAGCAGCACCTCCAGCAGCTCCAGCACCAGCAGCACCTCCAGCAGCACCACCAGCAGCTCCAGCACCAGCAGCACCTCCAGCAGCTCCAGCACCAGCAGCACCTCCAGAAGCACCACCAGCAGCTCCAGCACCTGGAGCACCTCCAGCAGCACCCCCAGCAGCTCCAGCACCAGCAGCACCTCCACCAGCAGGTCCCCCAGCTCCAGCAGCACGGCTACAGCGCCGAGCGTACCACTCACGAAGCTGCCGTGGAGAGAGTGGCTCCCGCCGCGACGGGACACTCGGAGGACCTCCAGTCTCAGCACCCCCAGGCACAGCACCCCCAGGCGCAGCACCCCCAGACTCAGCAACCCCAGGCTCAGCACCCCCAGGCTCAGCACCCCCAGGCGCAGCACCCCTAGCAGCACCAGAGTCAACAGCTACCTCAACAGGCTCGACTGCGTCTACCTGAGACACACCTGAGGGGGCAGGACCCTGAGGGGGGAGGGGGTCTATTGGAGGAGTACCTGGCGCGAGGAAGAGCGGCGGGGGGGGAAGGGGGGCAGTGCGGTAGGGGAAGAGACGGTAGTAAGGAACCGACTCGTCAAACGTGACGTCCTGAGAGGACAGAACACGGCGCGAGGTGGGGTGGTAAAACTGGCAACCAGGCGCGTCAGGGGGGAAGCCAAGGAAGACATAGGGAACGGCACAGGAGGACAGCTTGTCCGCAGACAAGTCGCGGACGAAAGCTCAAGATCCCCAGACACGGAACGCAGACGCATCGCCAACCTTCCCCGTCCACCGCAGAGTGGGGGAGGTCTCCGGCATGGAGACCCGGGGCTGGAGGTTGATCTGATGCGCCGCGTATTGAACCGCGAACGGCCACAGAAAATGGGGAGCAGCCGCATGGATCATGGACGTACGAGCGACATCCATGACCATGCCAATGCGGCGCTCAGCAATCCCATTTTGCTGTGGAGAGGCCGGAAGCGTGAACGTCTGGCGGATGCCCTCCGCACGACAGAAAGCTCGCAGAAGGTCAGAGGAAAACTCTCCACCTCTGTCCGAGTGCAGACGCAGAACAGGAAAGTCCGAGCCGAAACTCTCTCTGAGCTGGAGACGAGCAGCGCGGATCCAGTCGATCAACACCTCAGTGACCTCACCCTTGCGGCGCAAGGGGAAGACTGTGGTGTAACGCGAGTAGTCGTCAACAACCAGCAGGAAGTAACGCTCGTGACCCTGTCCACGGACGCGGGCTGGGCCCCACACGTTCATGTGAAGAGTCTGCAGGGGAGCCTCTGTCGGGGGAAACTCGGAGGAGTGAGGAGCGGCGCGCTGCCGGCCCTCGACGCAGGGGACGCAGGTAGGGGCAGGCCCCGGAGGAAGGGGTGGGAGGGACTCAGGAAGACCGGAGACCAGGACACGGGAGGCCATGCCTCGAAGACGAGGCAGGGAGGGGTGACCAAGGCGGTGGTGCCAAAGGAGAGTCTCGTGAGCCAGGAGGCGACACGAGCAGGGAGCAGACTCAGGGCCAGACCGGGACGCTGCAGCAAACACCTGACCCGACGCGGCTACCTGACCAGGAGGAGACTCAGTGGTAAGGGTGTACAGGCTGGACCCTGGCCGACGGGTGAACGTGGCCAAGTGGCGGCCCGTCCGAGCACACGTGCAGTGCGTCACACGCTGGTAGGCAGGGGTGAACTGGTGAACACCCCCATCCTGAAGATCAGCACCCGCCACCAGGTTCGTAGAGAACGTGGGGAGGTGAAGACCAGACAGCGAGCCGGACGGAGCCGCAGGACACGGAAGGACAGTGGAGGAACGGGCCACAACTGGTCCCCCAGAGGGGTCAGCCAGAGAGACTGCCACTGGCCGACTGAGCGGCGAGAGTGTGGTGCAGTCGCGAAAGAAGGAGCGGGAAGCACCCGAGTCAAGAGTGAACGTGTGCAAGACCTGAGCCGACGCGGTACCTGAGAGAGCAGCCTCACCAGCACCTGGAGCAGCAGACTCACTAGCACCTAGAGCAGCAGTCTCAATGCCCGGGTCGGGCGGAACACACAGGTAACAGTCACCCTCAGCACTAATAGACACAGCATACATAGCAGCAAGGATAGCATCATAATCAAGATCAAAGATAGCAACCCCCGACTTAAGCAGAATATCCCAGCGAGGGATCTCAGTGGAGCCAGGGAACTGTGTACGCCAGGCGTCAGTCAGGCGGCCGAAGCAGCGTGGTGTGGTGTGTGGGCCGCCGCACGTCTCTCCAGTGCGGTCGCCGGTGCGAAGAACGTAGGTGCAGGGACCAGCACCCCCAGACCTCCCACGCCCATCATACCACTCACGAAGCTGCTGAGGCGACGGGGTCTCACGGGAGCGCTGCTGCTGCTGGCGCTGGCCACCGCTAGAGCCTCCCCGCTGCCCACCATCGCCCCCGCCACCCCCACCTCCTCCGCCGCCGCCGCCACCTCCACCCCCACTCCCGCTGCCTCCGCCGCCTCCACCTCCACCGCCGCCACCGGAGCCCCCACTCCCGCCACCACTCCCACCTCCACCCCCACCCCCTCCGCCTCCTCCACCGCCACCACCGCCGCCCCCGCCATCCCCTCCACCCCCCTTGCCCCCCTTGCCCTTGCCCCAGCGGCGCTTCCCACTAGGGGCAGACGCAGTGCCGACCGACTCGGTGCCAACGAGGTCGACAGCAGCAGCAGAGGCAACAGAGGGCAAAAGAGGGACGGGGGAGCACCCCTCAAAGAAAGGGGCACGAGGGTCACCACGAGAGGCTCCTACAGCGACTATACTCTTCTCAGCTGCAAGGAGGCGCTCCTTGAGGAGGTCAATGGTGAGCGTGGTGGGGCAAAGGGAGAGGAAGTGGTCCCTGACCGAGCAAAGGGAGTCAGGGAGCCGGGTGACGAGGTAGTAGAGAGTGATGTACATAGGGGGGGGGGTTCTTGGCGCAGAACTCGGCAGGGAGCGCAGCGCGGTAGCGGGTGTCACTAGTGCGGAGGTGCGTAATGAGGTCAGCGACTGTGGCAAAAGCGGCTAGGTCAGGAAAAAGGTACGGTAGCATGAGGCGGCTAAGGGCAGCAGTGGCAGGGGAGGAGTAGCGCGCAACAACAGCAGTGTACAGAGTGCTAGCAGTCTTGTACTGGCTAAAGTGTGCGCGCTCAGCAGACGGCAGGTGACTACGGAGAGCAAGACGGGCAGCAGCATCGCGTGTGATCCACTGTGAGCGAACAGTACTATCAGCATCGGCAGCAGGGGCAGCACGGGCGCCAGAAGTGAGATCAAACAGTGAGATACCATCCTTGCTATCGCACTGCATAAACAGCTGCAGATCATCAACCCATACCTCAAAATCGACCGCTCGACCCTCAGCATCGAAGGTGAGTACATTAGGGTTTGCCATAGCAGCAGGAGCAGCAGCAGTGGCCTAGTGGCAGCAGCAGCAGTAGCAGCGCGACTCGGCAGGGCGGCGTGGTTCGGTAGGGCGGCTCGGCTAGGCAGGGCGGCGCGGGTGCGGCGGTGCACTTACCAGTGGCGGAAGTGGTGGGCCGCTACTGGCGGGGCTGTGCCGGGGCGCGTCGGCAGAGCAGGGGGGGGGGCGCCACAAGGAGAGGCCGCGGCGAGGCGGCAAGGCAGGGCCGGGACAGGCGCGTCGGCAGGGCGGCTGCAGGCTCGGCAGCAGCAGCAGGGCCGCTACGGTGGCAGCTGCTGCTGTAGCAGGGACGGCGACGGCAGCTGCTGCAGGGACGGCAGCTGCTGCAGGGACGGCGACGACGGGACGGCAGAGCCACTACGGCGGCAGCAGGGGCGACGGCAGCTGCTGCAGGGGCGGCGACGACGGGGCGGCAGAGCCGCGAAGGGCCGCGAATGGGCCGCGAAGGGCCGTGAGGGGGCCGCGAAGGGCCGCGAAGGGGCCGCGAAGGGCCGTGAGGGGGCCGCGAAGGGCCGCGAAGGGGCCGCGAAGGGCCGCAAGAGGGGCCGCGAAGGGCCGAGAAGGGGCCGCGAAGGGGCCGTAAGGGGCGCGACGGGCCGCTAAGGGCAGGGCACGCGACGGGAGGGCAGGCGCACGGGGCGCAACTAAGGCAGGCGCGAAGCGCGCTTCGGGCAGGTAAGGAAAAAAAAAGATTTTCGTAGTGGTGGGCCCTAAAAAAAAAAAAACCGGTCCCACTAGGGAACCCGCTCTATACCATGTGAGAGAAATACGAAGAATGAATTGACTAGGAATGAGTTGGGTACAAAATGGGGAAACCTAGAAATGTTGTACCCCCTATTGTCTAACCCACTACAGCCTAAACAGACTATAACATAAGTTTGACATAATCTAATAAACTGAATCACATTGTTCTCACTTAAGTGGCATCATAAATGTTTCCATGTGGTGGTGTTCTATTCTTTGCACATGCTTAACAAAAAGGACAGCCAGTTGTCCTAGGTCTTTGTGTGCTGGACATGGACATGATGCTATCCTTGTACATATGTTTGAGGGACCACTGGGATCCATTGAAGCCCATTTGGCATATGATATGGAATAGTAAACGCCTGTTGGAAAATGACATGCTGAAAGAGGACCTATCATCATACTTTCGTGGTCACTGTGGCATGTGATATGGAATAGTAAACGCCTGTTGGAAAATGACATGCTGAAAGAGGACCTATCATCATAATTTCGTGGTCACTGTGGCATGTGATTTGGAATAGTAAACGCTTGTTGGAAAATGACATGCTGAAAGAGGACCTATCATCATACTTTGGTGGTCACAATCAAGCCTATAGCCTC